ACTGGACGTCCCCCCAAAATTGATGAAAAGACGAGAAGAAAACTGGTCTGGGAGGCTGCCAAGAGGCCTACAGGAACATTTAAAGGAGCTGCAGGAATATCTGGCAAGTACTGGCTGTGTGGTACATGTGACAACAATCTCCCATATTCTTCATATATCTGGGCTATGGGGTAGAGTGGTAAGATGGAAGCCTTTTCTTACGAAGAAAAACATCCAAGCCTGGCTAAATTTTGCATAAACTCATCTGAAGTCTCCCCAAAAGCATGTGAGAAAATGTGTTACGGTGTGATGAAACCAAGGTTGTACTTTTTGTCCATAATTCCAAAAGATGTTTGGCACAAAAACAACACTGCACATCACCAAAAGAACACCAAACCCACAGTGAAGCATGGTGGAGACAGCATCATGCTTTGGGGCTGGTTTTCCTCAGCTGGAACTTGGGCCTTAGTCAAGGTAGAGGGAATTATGAACAGTTCCAAATACCAGTCAATATTGGCACAAAATCTTCAGGCTTCTGCTAGAAAGCTGAACATGAAGAGGAACTTCATCTTTCAGCATGACAACGACCCAAAGCATACATCCAAATCAACAAAGGAATGGCTTCACCAGAAGAAGATGAAACTTTTGGAATGGCCCAGCCAGAGCCCAGACCTGAATCCAATCAAAAATCTGTGGGGTGATCTGAAGAGGGCTGTGCACAGGAGATGCCCTCACAATCTGAAAGATTTGGAATGTTTTTGCAAGGAAGAGTGGACAAATATTCCCAAGTCAAGATGTGGCATGCTGATAGACTCATACCCAAAAAGACTGAGTGCTGGAATCAAATCAAAAGGTGCTTCAACAAAGTATTAGTTTAAGGGTGTGAACACTTATGCTACCATATTATTTTTGTTTTATTTTTCTTCCCTCCACCTAAAAGATTTCAGTTTGTTGTTCAACTCAGTTGTACAGTTTTATAGGTCACATTAAAGGTGGAAAAAGTTCTGAAATTATTTATCTTTGTCTAATTTTTTACGTCACAGAAACTGACTGGTTTAACAGGGGTGTGTAGACTTTTTATATCCACTGTATATGAAGGGTGGAGGGGGGATATAAATCTTTTGTATTCAAGTAGTAGTAAAGGTGGATGGATGCATGGATATAATAATTTTAAAAATAATGCACAATACTGGTAAATGTTTACTTTATATGTAATTGTAATGCCTTATATTACCGCCAGTCTATGAGCCGCCAGCCACTGAGTTTACTTGCTGATCTTCCCTGCACAGAGCCCTTAAAGCACTTGTAAACCTTGGTTTTCTTTTTTTAGCTAAAAATATATAATAATTTCCTCCGTGCAATGGTTTTGCACAGAGCAGCCCCGATTCTCATTTTCTGGGGTCCCCCACTGGTTTCTGGCTCCTCCTGCTTTCAGATTGCCCCTATAGCAAGATAAAAAAAACTTCTGCTTTTAGAATCACTTCCTTCTCCTGCCCAGAACTATATGCTCCTCACACATTCCAAGTTCTCAGGCATTTATTAATATGTATGGACAGTGTACTGAGCTGTATGTGTGCTGCACTGTGTATACTGACATGTATGATTGGTGTACTGAGCTGTTTATGTGCTGCACTGTATTTTTGACATGTAAATAAATCATGCATTCTGTATGCAGGCCAACTAAATCAGCTGACCACCTAATTTAATATGACAATAGATAACTATTTGCATAATCGATAAGTTGTTTCAGCCCTACACTGTATATACTTTATATGTAGTTGCAGTAACTTTCCCACAAACCAATTAATGTACAATTATTGGGATTTTTTTTTTTTACCAAAGACCTGTAGCTGAATACATTTTGGCCTACATTTATGAAGACATTTGATTTTATTGAATATGTTTTATAACAGTAGAAATATTGTTTTCTCTTGCATTCATTGACGGACACAGCTCTTCTCAACCATAGGGTTATAGCGCCACCTACAGGAGTAGGACACTAGGCTGAAAAAGAACTCGGCACCGCCTCTGCTATAGGCAATCCAGTATTTTCTGCCTAGTGTTTTCAGGAGTAAGGAACTGGCTCCCTGCTGGGACCTGTGGTTCCATAGTTTTTTTTTCTCTTTTTCCTTGGGAATCTTTTTTTTTTTTTTTGCCCTGCGGATGTCTTTCAATCAACAGCCAGGCTGGGGAATGGCTGGGTAATCTAGATCCAGTGGTCACCTCAGTCTGCCCATTGAGTGCACACAGACCTTTAGCTCAGCGATGGGTCAGCCACGATTAAGTCCCATCCTGGACCGGGGCAGCCAGCGAGTTAAACGTCTTGCGGGGACACATATGACAGGGTGCCTACGTCCGTGTTACGCTACCCTGGCCGACAGCCTCCCACTGCGGTGGAGAGGAGGCTCTGTGTGGGAGCGACACCCACAAGCTACTTTTGGTTGGCAAGTAGCTACCCCCTTCCTTCCCTCTCTGGACATACTGGGGCGCAGGTGCTCCCTGGGGTGGTCAGCCATACAGGGTTCCCCTTCTTCCCTACAAGCCTGGGCTCCTATTCCTGAACCCCCCCCCCCCCCCCCCCCACCACCACCACCACCTTCCCCTTCACTATTTCTGGGGGCACTGGGCGTCGGATGCACTTAATGGGGCGCTTCTCTGGGGCAGGAAGCTGTCGGGTTTGGTGTTCCACACAAGTTTGTAGGCTAGCACGTTTGCCCCTTGGAGGATATATTTTGCAACTGGTAAGCTTATGTTGTGTGGTGCATGGTTTTGGGTTTCCCTCTGAACCCCCTCTCGGTGAATTTAGTGTTGGCCTGTGTTTTATGAGGCGTTGCACAACGTTTTGCCTTGAGTGCCCTTACGGGTCCAGTTTCTGCCTCGCTGTGTTTTTTTTTTTTCGTTTTTTTGTTTTTTTTTTTTAACGTTACTTGGCCACGCACATCCTGCTTGCACCTTTTTGGTTGAGGGTTTTGTCTTCTGGTGCCTCACGAGCACTCCCTGTTAATGCAATGGGACTTGCATTGGTTCTTTTGGTTCTCTAGAAGCCTGTCTTTGGAGAGTATTCGGGACATTCCCCTGCTTACTCTTTTTCATTGTATTTTCTTCTTGGTCACCGTAGCTTCTGAGCAGCTGCCTGAGCTGGCAGCCATATTTTTAAGGGTTTTTTTTAAATTTTTTTTATTGGTTCTAGACATGACTTAGGTGATTCTTTTGTCTGTGCTCCTCATTTTACCAGTGGTGTCGGATTTTTCACCTAATTGTGGCCATTATCCTGCACTTCTTGTTTCAACGGCCACCTCATTTTAGGAGGTTGCGTTACACTTCTTGGTTTTGGACTAGGTGGTTCGTGGTGCCTGTTCACTGCAGCTTTCTGCCGATGTTGCCTTCTATACTACAATTTCCTGCTGGCTCCGGCTGATGCTTGTCAGGTGTACACTGTATGGGGCGGGCTCCTTCCTTCTTCGTTACGGCACGTTCCACTGGGGTGTTTAGTGTCTTCTGTGCCTTCTGGCATCTGCCATTTGTGTTTTTGGTTGCGAAGCAGCTGTCTGGTTGTCTGTGCACACTCACATAATTTTCCAAGTTAATTTGTGTGCATCTTCAATGCTTGTTGGCCAGAAGGTTGCAGGCTGCTGTTTTTCCTTGTTTACCCCTTTAAGTGGTTGTTTGGGTATTTGGCTTGCTGCCTGGTTTCTCCAGTTTATTTCTGGTTTGCCCACCCCACATTTAGGCACTGCTTTGGGACTTCCCTATGGTCAAGAATAGGAAGAGCTGTGTCTGTCAGTGAACATAAGAGAAAACAGGATTTTTTGGTTACTCACTGTAAAATCCCTTTCTCTGAGTTCATTGATGGACACAGAACCCACTTCTCTATTGGAGATTTGCTTCTATCTCTAACTAGATTGCCTTTAGCAGAGAGGGACCTTATACCAGCTAGGACTACCCATAGGCAGTGCGGAGTTCTTTTTCTGCCTAGTGTTCTACTCCTGCAGGTGGCACTTTATCCCTTTGGTCATGATTAAGAGGAGCTGTGTCCATCAATGAACTTTGAAGAAAGGGATTTTATGGTAACAAAAAAATTTTTTTTATATAAACAAAATTATATTGTTTATATAATTTTACAAAAACCCAGTGATGATCAAATACTACCAAAAGAAAGCTCTTTGTGTGAAAAAATTATATAAATTTCATTTGGGTTCCGTGTTGCATGATCGAGCAGTTGCCAGTTAATTGCACAGTGCCGAATAGCCAAAAATGTCTCGGTCCTGAAGGGTGTAAAAACCTTCCAGAGGTCAAATGGTTAAGGGATAGTTCACACCACATACGTTCTGGTGCTTTTTTTTTTTTTTTTTTTTTTTCTGCATCCAAAACACATAGAAAGTAGCTTACATGGTTTTCAATGGCATAGTTTACACCAGTGCTTACAGCTCCAGTGCGTTCCAATTCCAGGAAAAGAGTAGAACATGCTGTATCTTTCCTGCACACAACTGTACTGGAACGTGGTAAGATGCACCAAAAATTACAGAAAGCTGGAGTTTGGCTTTAGAGGTTAACTCCACCTTTTGGGCCATGTTATATATTACACCCATCTTTAGTGCAAATGGGAATGACATGGAACTAGGGGGGAGTCTGTAAGAGTCAGACATTACACCTGTTATCCGTTGATTGCGTTTGCAATACTTTTCAGGCTTCTTTTCAGAAGGTTAGGAATGACAGTCTAAATTATTTCATGACAGGTTTGTTGTAATTTTGACTTTGTAGAAGGCCAGGACTTTGGCTGAAATTGGGTCTTTGCAGCTTTAACAGTCTGCTAGAGGTCAAACCCTTCCCGTGTGCATCCAAATGGAGTAATCTGATGTGTGCTGTGCCTTTTCACCCCTATTGGTTGCATATTTTATTGCTGAATTTTTATTTTTATTTTTTTTAAATATAATTTTGTTTTCTTCAGTAATACTGGTACAACACCTTTTGGAGGTTTTGGGACCCCTGCAACAACGACCTCTACATCAGGAACCGGAGTCATGTTTGGAGCCAAACCAACCACAGGATTCACTTTAGGATTACAGAACCAGAACCCAGGTTTGATGTCCTGTCTGCTTTTTGAACTTTCATTTAAAATATAACTAAAGGCAAAACATTTTGTTTCTTGTTTTGTTTTTTTTTTTTTGGAGTGTAGTTGGATTAGAACACTTTTCAGTTTTTATTGTTGTCTGTGTCCCCATTAAGATTCAATTTCTCACCCTCCCTATTTGTCCTGTTTAGCAATATTATTGAAAGTAAAAGAAAATCCCAAATGTTGGTTGTCCCCAGAAATGTAATAGAGAGGAAATCTTCCAGTGGGGACACTAGTTCTGCTGATCTTGGGGTCCCCAAGGAATTCCCTGAATTTGAAGGTATTTCTTCTCACTTCCTGTTTGACTATGAGACAGGAAGTAAAGGGAAATGTCCTCAATGGGACAGAGATGGCGGAACAAAATCTGATAACCCTCCCTTGCACTATCCAGAATGGGGAAAAATAAAGTTTTGTCTGTAGTTCTACTTTAATTTACATGAGAATTTAACCAAAAGAACAAATGTAAGCGATATGTTGCAAAAGGAAATAGTGTGTGGAAGCTGCATTGGGTAGGTCCAGGATCATCAAATTCATTACAACAAAGAGCCCATTTTACAGGAAAAGTCCATTGTATTAAACATTTGTCATATACCAAGTCACAATTAGAGAAATGCAATAATGCAATTGGCCATTAACCACTTCACATCCAGACACTTTTACCCCCTTTGACAATTGCGCGGTCATGCAATACTGTACCCATATGAATTTTTTTTAGCATTTCTTTGAGACAGATAAAACTTTATTTTGGTGGTATTTATTCACCACTGGGATTTTTATTTTTTTTTTTTGCTATATAAATGAAGTTAAAAAATTTTGAAAAAAGTGTTTTTCTAATAAAATTTTGAAAATAAATAATCTTTCTTCACAAATCTTGGCCAAAATTTATTCAGTTATCTTTTAGTAAAAAAAAAAAAAAAAACCCAAATTAGTTTAACCAAAAATTATAATTTTTCTAAATTTTGTTTTACATTTTTATTTTATTTTTTTTATATTATTTGTGGGTTTTTTGGGGTTGTTTTTTTTTTTTTTTTTTTTACATACTGTCACCCTAGCAGTACAGTGTCACCATAGTGACACTGTACTACCTGTGGGGGGTGATGAAGAGTTTTTTTTTTTTTTTTTTTTACACTGACTGCTTTTACACCCATAAAGGCTGTAAAAGCAATAATTTTCTTCTTCTCTCTGGCTGCATTTTTGTAGCCATTGAGAAATACTGTGTGAGCTGTGATTGGTCACAGCTTGTCACATGGTACCAGGCTGTTGTGAATAGCCTTGTACCATGTGAACATTCACAGATTTCACACGTAGTAGGCAATGATGTCAGAAGTGACATCTTGCTTACCACTCTTCATGTGATCACTGATTGGCCAGTCAGTGATCACATGATTGGGGTCCTCACACAGATGCCCCACACAACAATCCGGAGGACACAGCGGGCACCAGATTGCGGTGCTGCGCACTCCCAGGGATTGCGCAGGGAACGGGGAGGCAGTTTATAAACAGCCACCCGCCCCTGCACTGCTCCCGTCTGGCCGTTTATATACATGGGCCGGACGGAAAATGGTTAATATTATAAATGCTCAGGCAAGATTTAGGTTTGCCCAATAGCTAATTGCATAATATACAGTGCCTTGAAAAATTATTCATACCATTTGAAATTTTGCACATTTTGTCATGTTACAACCAAAAACGTAAATGTATTTTATTGGGATTTTATGTGATAGACCAACACAAAGTGGCACATAATTGGGAAGTGGAAGGAGAATGATAAATGGTTTTCAAATCTGAAAAGTGTGATGTGCATTTGTATTCAGCCCCCCCTGAGTCAATACTTTGTAGAACCACCTTTCGCTGCAATTACAGCTGCAAATCCCATTTGGGGATGTCTCTACCAGCTTTGCCCATCTAGAGAGTTACATTTTTGCCCATTCTTCTTTGTAAAATAGCTCAAGCTCTGTAAGATTGGATAGAGAGCGTCTGTGAAAAGCAGTTTTAAAGTCTTCCCACAGATTCTCAATTGGATTTAGGTCTGGCCTTTGACTGGGCCATTCTAACACATGAATATGCTTTGATCTAAACCATTTAATTGCAGATCTGGCTGTATGCTTAGGTTCGTTGTCCTGCTGGAAGGTGAACTTCCAGCCCCAGTCTCAAGTCTTTTGCAGATTCTAACAGGTTTTCTTCTAAGATTGCCCTGTATTTGGATCCATCCATCTTCCCAATAACTGTGATCAGTTTCCCTGTCCCTGCTGAAGAATAGCATCCCCACAACATGATGCTCCCACCACCATGTTTCCCTGTGGGGATGGTGTGTTCAGGGTGATGTGCAGTGTTAGTTTTCCACCACACATAGTGTTTTCCATTTAGGCTAAACAGTTCAAATTTGGTCCCACCTGACCAGAGCACCTTCTTCCGCATGTTTGTGTCCTCCACATGGATTCTCGCAAACTGCAAATGGCACTTCTTATGGCTTTCTTTCAACAATGGCTTTCTTCTTGCCACTCTTCCATAAAGGTCAGATTTGTGGAGTGCACGACTAATAGTTGTACTGTGAACAGATTCTCCTACCTGAGCTGTGGATCTCTGCAGCTCCTCCAGAGTTACCATGAGCCTCTTGGCTGCTTCTCTGATTTAATGCTGTCCTTGGCCGGCCTGTCAGTTTAGTTGGACGGCTATGTCTTGGTAGGTTTGCAGTTGTGCCATACTCTTTTTCTATTTTCAGATGATGGATTGAACAGTGCTCCATGAGATGTTCAAAGCTTGGGATATTTTTTTATATCCTAACCCTACTTTAAACTTCTCCACATCGTTATCCCTGACCAGTCTTGTATGTTCCTTGGCCTTCATGATGCTGTTTGTTCACTAATGTTCTCTAACCAACCTCCGAGGGCTTCACAGAACAGATGGATTTATACTGAGATTAAATTACACACAGGTGGACTTTATTTACTAATTAGGTGACTTCTGAAGACAATTGGTTCCAGTAGATTTTAGTTAGGGGTATCAGAGCAAAGGGGGCTGCATACAAATGCACACCACACTTTTCAGATATTTATTTGTAAACCATTTTGAAAACCATTTTATCATTTTCCTTCTACTTCACTACTTCACAATTATGTGCAACTTAGTTTTGGTCTATCACATAAATTCCCAATAAAATACATTTGTTTTTCATTGTAACATAAAATGGATATGAATACTTTTTCAAGGCACTGTAATTCTAATTACTAAAATGTTATATAAATGTTAACATGTTAATGTAATTTCAAAAGTCATATTCAGTATTAAATCTGCAGCTTTTATTAAAATACTTGATCTTGCCATGAACGTCTTTGTTCAGGCATTTCCTGTTATAGGGTGACAGCGCTCTTATTTTTTGTCTCACAGTTGTTCTCGTACTTTGTCTTCCTGTCACACACACTTCCAATGGAGATTACAAGTAGCTGTTTCAGCACACGTTACACAGACATGAGCCACTGTCGTCAACTTCAGAAAACCCACCCTGAGACTTCCATGCAGCCATTTCTGAAGTGCATGTAGATGGCAAGTAGCTCCAAAGAGGTTGCAGGAGACCAGCAGTAGGGCGTACATCTATTCCTGTCACTATACAGGGCAGAGGAATACTTACTGGTGTTCTTTGCTGGCAAAGGAGAGGCACAATGAACCATATGGTCTTTTTTTTTTTGCTGTCAGTCCTAGCCTGTTTATATGCCTGCAGCTAGAGAGCCTTGATATAAGACTGGTCAGTAGAAAAAACTGAGTGGGAAGAGGACTTCACAAGCCCTGGTATTACTTTCTAAGATCACAGTAGGCCATTCAGCTAGATGACTGAAGGAGGTGGCTTTTTAATCTGACCCAAATATCCGAGTACTATAGACAACAGAGCAGTTTTGACCCATTTTGTAAAGCTATTTATTTTTGTGCTAATAGAAATTTTTTTTTCTTTCTAATAAGAATAATATATGTATACCACTTTTTGGAATGTAAAATGTAAAAATTGTCAAATTTTTGTTTTATATTTGAAGAAAAGGGAAGAATTAAAGGGTTCTCAGCTGAAGAAGTCAGAGCTGGTAGGGGCAAAGCAAATGCGAATTGCCTGGTAACGCTGAGCCCTCTGGCTTTAACCACTTGCCCTCCAGAGGATTTAACCCCCTTCCTGACCAGACCATTTTTTGCAATGCGGCACTGCGTTACTGTAACTGACAATTGCGCGGTCATGCAACGCTGTACATAAATAAAATGTTATGTCCTTTTTCCCCTCAAATAGAGCTTTTTTTTCTGTGGTATTTGATTACTGGTGTGTTTTTTTTTTATTTTTTTTGCGCTATAAACAAAAAAAAAAAAGACTGACAATTTTGAAGAAAAAAAAATACAATATTTTTGACTTTGATATAAACCATATCGGGTAAAAAAATTAAAAACAATCTAATTTCATCTTAAATTTCAGCCAAAATGTATTCTGCTACATCTTTGCTAAAAAAAAAAAAAAAAAAAAAAAAAAAAAATCCCAATACGTGTAAATTAATTGGTTTACGTGAAAGTTATACCGTCTACAAATGGCGGTATATATACTGGATTTTTTTTTTGTTTTATTTATACTAGTGGCCGAGATCAGCGACTTATATGGGACTGCTGAACTGTGGCGGGCATTCTGACACACGGGGGGAACTGACTAACTGGCACTGACATCCCAATGACACTAATTCAGTGCTAATAAAAAGCATTGACACTGTACGAATGACACTGGGCAGGAAAGAATTGACATCTGGGGCGATGAAAGGGTTAACTGTGTGCTTGTGTACTGTGTGCTCTGTGTGTTTTACTAGGGAAGCATACTGCTGTGCATTTCTCTGCTGTGCAGAGAAATACACAGCAGCATGTTTCTGCTGGCAGGAGAGAGACCTTTATTATTTTACACACAGGTCTCTCCCCTGTTAGTGATACTCGGCAGGGTGCCAGTGGGGAATCTCCGGCCGGGACCCAGTGATCGACATCTGTAGCCACCAGTGGCGGTGCGTGTAGCCCCCTACCCGGAAATGAAAAATCACGTAAACGTGATATTGCGCAGCCCTGCTGCCCTGTAGCAGTAGTTCTGCTATAGAGCGAGAGGAAAGGTGTTAATGCTTTCGGCGTCATTGATGCAGAACAAGTATGCAGGTGAGGAATTTGGATGCTTATTACATTTTTGCTTTCTACCAAAATGCTTTTCTTTTGTGGTCGATGCTAAATCGATTTTTTGTTTTTATATTCCAGCTCCTACAACATCATCTGGCTTCACTTTAAATTTTGGTAAGCCTGCTGGATCTGCTACACCTTTTTCTCTGACTACGACTACTACCTCATCCACAGGCCTTTCTTTGCCCTCTTCTTTGACATCTACCCCAGCAACAGGTAAGTAACATTTTTATTTCATTTTATAGCTTCATGGCAATCTAACAGCTTCATACTTTTGAATGTCCTTTTGGTACATCTGATACTGCCTGATCAGCACTAATCAGCACACTGGGAAGAATTTACAAAGCTACCTGCACTTTTTAATGACACAGTAAACTGGGGCAACTGGCATGCACCACTTTAACAAAGCAGCTAGACCTGTTTCATTCAATGACAAGTCGCAGACGCATTCAGCTGTCACAGGTTTAGTGGAATGTAGTGCAACTCATAGTAGGTGTACTTCATGTTGTATTGAAATCTAGTGGAGAGACACAAACAGCCGTCACTCCTCTTGAGAAAATTTTCCACAGGATTGTAGAGTGTGTCTGTGGGAACTTTTTTTTCTTTCCATTCAGCCAAAAGGGCATTTGTGAGATCAAGTACTGATGTTGGACAAAAAGACCTGGCCCACAATCAACATTTCAGTCTATTCAAATGTTTTTCAGGAAGGTTGAGGTCAGGGCACAAGTGTCTCCTATACCTACAAGTGTCTCCTGTACCTATTATTGCATAGTGTGTAACTGCTATATATTGTCATCCTTTTCTCCACCATCATTGTTCCTTATAGAGGAGCGAGAGGCACGTGATTGTGTTGTATTTTCTTTTATATGTTGTCACCTTTTATAACAGCTGAAAACCTTTCAATAAAAATATCTTTAAAAAAAGGTTGATGTCAGGGCTCTATGCTAGTTAAGATCCTCTAAACTCTAAGGCCTCCGTTTTTGCAGCCACTTTTAGGAGCGTCGGGTGCTTTTTTTTTTTTTTTTTTTTTTTTTTTTCCCTTTTTCACTGCTTCCAAACGGCCCTGCCTACTATCCTATGCATCCATGCACACACAGACTTTTAGAAGCTTTTAGTAGCAGTAGAGTTTACCAGCAGGAAAAAAAAAAACGCCAGGGCCAGTGCGTCCAGGAGCAGCAGCGTTTATGCAGAAAACCCGCCTGACATGCGTAAACATGTCTAAACGCACCAAAAAAAGTGTGCTTAATACTAGATGTGTTTAGCTCTTAAGTGGTAATTAATTTCAATGGCCCAAATAAGGGAATTCACGCCCAAGTGCTTGATGCTTGTATACACTCCTAAAAGCTCAAGACGTTTTTTTTTCCTGCCAAAACGCTGCTGCCAAGAGGAGCGTTTTTTTTTTTTTTTTTAATGTCCTGTGTGCATGAGGCCTCAACTTCTCAAACCTTGTCTCTCTGAAGCTGGCTATGTGCACATGTCACAGTCATGCTGGAAGAGTAAAGAGATTCCCCAAACAGTTGCCACAAGGTTGTGCACAATTGTCAAAACTCCATATAGAGTTTGACATTTTACTTTATACATCAAAATGCGACAGCGACAAATGAAAGATATTGCAGATCATTGTTAAATAATGATCTCGACAGTGTGTGCGTATATTATTGGACATATGTGAATACACAATACTGACAGTTATTTGTAGCCAGGAAACTTAGAGATTTTTTTTTTTTTTTTTTTTGCATATAGTTCCATCATTCTGTCACTGTTATATATGTATTATTAGTGAAAGGTGTTTGCTTTCCGTAAAATTTGGGCTTTTAAAGCCTAGACTAGATACATTATTATGTGTAGCAAGTTACAGTCTTGTGAGATTTTTGTAATAATGGTGATCTTTTTTCCTAGGCACTGGGTTTTCATTGAATTTGAACAGTGGTACAGCAGCTACAACTACAGCATCCACTGGCTTGACACTCGGTCTTACTGGGTCACTTTTTCAAAACACCAATCCAGCCACATCAGGTAGTTGATACACTTCACTTTTTACCTGTCATTCTGTTAGTGATTTCTATACACCAGTTGTTAATTGAATCTGTCAGGTAACGGCTTACTATGACACGCTAATGTGCATTACTTTTGTAGTTATCAAGGTAGTCTAGGATTGGAGGAATTCTAGTCAACTCTCTGAAGTTAAGTCTGTGTTAATATAGAACGCAGATTGTGTCCTGCAAATTTGTGGCTGGGTCCTCTAAGGCCTGGTTCACACTGATGCAATTTCAGATGTGGCTTGGGTTATTATTATTATACAGGATTTATATAGCGCCAACAGTTTGAGCAGCACTTTACAATATAAGGGAGACAGTACAATTACAATACATTTCAGTACAAGGAATAGGAGGGCCCTGGTCGTGGAGCTTACAATCTAAAGGAAGGGGGAGGTGATATCTGCGGGGGATGATCTGGCGGAGGTGATTCATGCACAGTTCTTAGGTAGAGGTGGGGTAGGCTTCCTTGAAGTGAGTTTTCAAAGATTGCCTAAAGGCAGACAGGGTGGGGGCTGACCGAACATGCTGTGGTAGGGAGTTCCAGAGAATGGGAGAGGCTCTGGAGAAGTCCTGGAGGCGAGCGTGGGAGGAGATGATGAGGGAGCTAGAGAGGAGAGGATATCATGGGAGGAGCGGAGTGGGCGATTTGGGCGGTATCTGTGGATGAGGTTGGTGATGTAGCTAGGGGCAGTGTTGTGGATGGCTTTGTAAGCTGTGGTTAGTATTTTGAATTTTATACATTGGGTTAGTGGAAGCCAGTGGAGGATTGGCAGAGAGGGGCAGCAGTCGTTGATCGGTTGGTAAGGTGTATGAGTCTAGCAGCAGCATTCATAATAGACTGAAGGGGGGATAGTCTGTGTAACGGTAGACCAGTGAGGAGGGAGTTGCAGTAATCGAGGCGGGATATAGCCAAGGCGTGGATAAGTTGTTTTGTGGTGTCATTGGTCAGGAAGGGGCGGATTTTGGAAATGTTCCGGAGGTTGAGGTGGCAAGATTTAGCCAGTGAGTGGATGCGGGCCCAAAGGAGAGGTCAGAGTCTAGGATTACGCCTAGCACCCTGGCATGAGGGGAAGGACCAATGGTTGTGCTGTTGATCTTAATGGTAAAGTCGTGAGTGAGGGATCAGGGAGGAGGAAATATTACAAGCTCAGTTTTTGAAAGATTGAGTTTAAGGTAGTGATGTGACATCCATGCTGATATGTCGCTTAGTAGATTTGTGATACGTGAGGAGATTGAGAGGGTGAGCTGAGGAGTGGAGAGATAGATCTGGGTGTCATCAGCATAGAGGTGGTATTGGAAGCCATGAGAGGTTATCAGTTGGCCCACGGAGGAGGTATACAGAGAGAAAAGGAGGGCCCCAAGAACAGAACCTTGGGGTACCCCAACAGAAAGAGGAAGCGGAGGAGGAGGAGTTATGTGACACTGAAAGTGCACTGAGAAAGGTAAGAGGAGAACCAGGAAAGAGCAGAGTCACGGGGTCAATGGAGTGGAGTTTACTGAGGAGGAGCGGGTGGTCGACTGTGTCAAAGGCAGCGGAAAGGTCAAGGAGTACGAGTATGGAGTAATGGCCATTGGTTTTAGCCGTTAGTAGGTCATTAGTGAGTTTTAGTAGGGCAGTTTCTGTGGAATGTTGTGGGCGGAAGCCAGACTGTTGGGGATCAAGAAGGTTGTCGGTGAGGTAGCAGTTCATACGGTTGTGAACAAGGAGCTCGAGAAGCTTGGAGGCAAACGGGAGCAGGGAGATGGGTCTTAAGTTATTCAAACAGGTGGGGTCCAGCAAGGGTTTTTTGAGGATGGGGGTAACCAGTGCATGTTTGAGTGGGGAGGGAAAGGTGCCCATGGAGAGTGAGAGGTTGAAGATGTGGGTTAGAGAGTTTAGGATAGAGCAGGAAGGAGACTGCACTGAATTGCATGACAATGGAAATCACATTGCTTCCAGTGGTACCCGTGTACATGGAGGCATCTACATCTATACTGCTGTGATGCAACTTTAGGAAAAGGTCATTTACTACTTTGTTGTGATTTACAGTGTGGTTTGGCCTCATAGAATATACAAACCACATCCAAAACATAACCACATTTGCATTAAGTCGTACGAGCTGTGTGTTTTGTTTAGAAAAAGACATGCTGCTACCGGATGTATAATCTGCAATATGTACAAAAATAGGAAATGGTAATTTAGTACTGAAGGTCTCCTCTTAACTGACACTGCAATAGATGGCTAAACTTACATGAAAGTTCATAGCATCAGCATTGGTTGCATACATATTTCATATCATAGAAGGTATTGTACAGACTGTAGGTGGCAAAAATCTGGATTTACAGTATCTCACAGTAGTGAGTACACCCCTCACATTTTTTAAAATATTTTATTATATCTTTTCATGTGACAACACTGAAGAAATGACACTTTGCTACAATGTGACTTAGTGAGTGTACAGCTTGTATAACTCAACATTCAGCCATTAATGTCTAAACTGCTGGCAACAAAAGTGAGTACACCCTTAAGTGAAAATGTCCAAATTGGGCCCAATTAGCCATTTTCCCTCCCCGCTGTCATGTGACTAATTAGTTTTACAAGGTCTCAGGTGTGAATGGGAAGCAGGTGTGTTAAATTTGGTGTTACCACTCTCAAAAAGAATTGTTCCTCTACATAAAGCTGACCTAGGCTATAAGAAGATTGCCAAGACCCTGAAACTGAGCTGCAGCACGGTGAAGAAGACCATACAGCGGTTTAACAGGACAGGTTCCACTCAGAACAGGCCTCACCATGGTCGACCAAAGAAGTTGAGTTCACATGCTCAGCATCATATCCAGAGGTTGTCTTTGGCAAATAGACATATGAGTGCTGGCAGCATTGCTGCAGCGGTTGAAGGAGAGGGGGTCAGCCTGTCAGTGCTCGGACCATATGCCGCACAGTGCATCAAATTGGTCTGCATGGCTGTCGTCCCAGAAGGAAGCCTCTTCTAAAGATGATGCACAAGAATGTTCACAAACAGTTTGCTGAAGACAATCAGACTAAGGACATGGATTACTGGAACCATGTCCTGTGGTCTGATGAGACCAAGATAAACTGATTTGGTTCAGATGGTGTCAAGCGTGTGTGGTGGCAACCAGGTGAGGCGTACAAAGACAAGTGTGTCTTGCCTACAGTCAAGCATGGTGGTGCTGCCAGCACTGGGGAGCTACAGTTTATTGAGGAAACCATGAATGCCAACATGTACTGTGACATACTGAAGCAGAGCATGATCCCCTCCCTTCGGAGACTGGGCTGCAGGGCAGTATTCCAACATAACGACCCCAAACACACCTCCAAGATGACCACTGTATTGCTAAAGAAGCTGAGGGTAAAGGTGATGGACTGGCCAATCATGTCTCTAGACCTAAACCCTATTGAGCATCTGTGGGGCATCCTCAAATGGAAGGTGGAGGAGCGCAAGGTCTCTAACATCCACCAGCTACGTGATGTCGTCATGGAGGAATGGAAGAGGACTCCAGTGGCAACCTGTGAAGCTCTGGTGAACTCCATGCCCAAGAGGGTTAAGGCAGTGCTGCAAAATAATGGTGGCCACACAAAATATTGACACTTTGGGCCCAATTTGGACATTTTCACTTAGGGGTGTACTCACTTTTGTTGCCAGTGGTTTAGACATTAATGGCTGTGTGTTGAGTTATTTTGAGGGGACAGCAAATTTACACTGTTATACAAGCTGTACACTCACTACTTTACATTATCGCAAAGTGTAATTTCTTCAGTTTTGTCACATGAAAAGATATAAAATATTTAAAAAAATGTGAGGGGTGTACTCACTTCTGTGAGGTCTGTAAGTAGCTCTCCCATGGAGCCATGTTAACTGTTTGTTAATATGGAGGGCATCACTTCAGCTATATTCAGAGTTCATTATCAACTTCACAGCTATTTTTACGTTCAGCAGTCCAAAGTTCTCTAGTTCATTTTAGGTCTGCAAGTCATCTCACGCTTGTAACCTCTTTTATCTCAGGTCTTGGACAGAACCCATTGGGTCTAACAGCACCAGCAACACAGACTACTTCAAATGATGGTCTTGGTGGCATAGATTTCAGCAGTTCGTCAGACAAAAAAAGTATGTGTTCTTTTTACCTTTTAACTAGAGTCCTTTTTTTTAATTCCAGAAGGTAATCTTATTTTCACCAAATATGCAACTGTTGGGTTTTATTGTAAGCATGCTAAAAGTTTAAACTGGTTCTAAAGTCAAAAGGTTTTTTACCCCAATGCTCTCTGCATTAATGTAAAAACCCTTTCAATAGCAGCTCCCCTCCTCCTCCTTAAACACTTTCCTGAATCCATTCTCAATCCAGCGATGTGGCCATCTGCTGCAGCTCCTTTCTCCTCTTGTATTCACTAAACGCTCTGACGGCATTGGAAGCCATTGGCTCCTGCTGCTGTTAGTCAATATTGTATTCAATATGTGCAAAGAGAGATAACAGAAATATCATATAACATATATTACTAGTCATGACAGATAAAGAAAATATAACAGTAATACTTAACTAAAGATGCTGTTTTACCACAAGGTCCCCCCCCCATGATGGTGTGGCATAGGTGACCACATACGCATGCATGTTTGCAAGCTCTGAAGACGAGACTGAATGTTTCAAGTGACAACCATAGTATATAGGCAACCTGCAGGCCTCTAAAGAAAATGGCACATTCCTGAAAGGCGTTTAGTGAGCTGGCTTGGCTATATAGTTAGTTTTACAATCTCATTCCTTTGGTATAAGATCATGTAAAGTAACTAGACTGTCCTGTATGGACCCTTAGTCAAGGCTTGGAGGCATTCCTAAATATTGTGGGACAATTAGACAACTTTAAATTGGGAAATATGTAATCTGCAATCCCCATCACAGCACCGCTTGGGAGCATTCATGCACGTGTTCCCCCATAGAACACAGCTTGCTATGGGGGTACACAAAGAAAAGAATTGGAGAGCACAGGCAGGGGACCCCAGAAGAAGAGGCAAGTGGCCACTTTGTGCAGTATCCTTGCACAGAAAAGGTAATTATAACATCTTATTTTATGACAAAAAAACAGCTTTTAGTATCACTTTAAAGTAAAGTGAGTATATCTTACCCATGGACATCAAACTGCCCTAATGCACATACAGCCCAGATCCCCATAAAGGGTCTACACAGCTGCTGAAAGTTAGTATTGTCCTATAGGTGTCTGCTGCCTCTCATTTGTTAGTGCTTGTTCCAGAAGGTGTTGAGCCTAATATATAAGCAACTGAAGTTTTTGGAATAGGTGAAAAATTCCTTATGGCAGGAATATGCGGTAAAAAAATCGACCGATTGGGCATCCGACGACTGATTGGCGTTCATTCATTGGTCGAAATTGTGGCCCACATTAACCAATCAAAAAAAAAATAGTTGAGCAATACGTAGTGTTGACGTCTTCCATACAAGTGAAAGTGATGCAGTGTGCTTGTGACCTTGTAGCCACGCCTTTCTGGCCAGAACAAGCGATTGGACATAAATCCATGGAGTTAATTGGATTAAATTGGATTTATGGATCCTTGGACATTTGGACATAATTGGAATTAATTGGATTTATGGATCCTTGGACATAAACATCCGGGTCATCTTCTGTTTCCACTCATGTGTGATAGCGTTTGATAGATTTTTTTGCGGATGACCGGCATACCACCGCATAGAAAATTGGTAGTTCGCATGTGAAACGACAACATTTTTCGCTGCTCAACCAGATTTTTTCGTTCACAATACCATTATCGTTTATTACATCCTGCTCATCAACAAAGAGAAAATCTGTCGATCATTTGATCAACAAAATTTTTCGTATGATTTTCTTACCATGTATTCCTAGCTTAAGTCACAAGCCCTAGTACTGTAATTTAGGCTGGCCACACACTGGAATATTTTCGAACAAACTTTCTACAAACATTTTGTATGAAAATTCTCAGAACATTCGATAATTGGTGAATGTTTAAAAATACTTCAAAATATTGTTTACTTTTTACATTCGATATTGGAATGAAGGTACTTTACTGAACACTATTAGAATTTCATCTGAGTGAAAATATGCTTCCTGCTCCTTTGAATTTTTTCATTGATTGAAGTTAAAATCAAATGTTGATTCAACATCACAAATGATCAGAAAATCAATTGAGCAAACATTTTTAAACTTTTAAAGTAAATGCTAATGTATAGCCAGCTTTAACATGTGGGTAGCACAAGCTGTGATCTAGACTTGGGTAGACATCAAAGCCTCATGTGCAGGCTCAGTCTAGGATCCCTGGGGCTTCTCAAGGATAGAGGGAACAGTGCAGTACTAGACATAAATATCTTGCACTATAATGTATTTATCTTTCTTTTAGTATAGGTAGAGGTATACAGTTAATTTCAGATATAGACTTCAACAGTTTATGCAGTCCTTTACATACTCTATATTTACATCAGTACCTGCCCTCAAGGAGTTTACAATCTAAGGTCCCTCACACGCATAGAGCTAATTTAGTCAGCAGCCAATTAACCTTCCAACATGTCTTTTTGTTTGAGAGAAGAAAACTGAATACCCAGAGGAAACCCACACAAGCACAGGGAGAACATGCAAACTCCATGCTGGTAGTTTCCTGGTTAGGATCAGAACCAAGGACCCTAGAGCCATTGATCAAACTTGATAATAAAGTTTATGCTAGAGGCAGCCAATAGCAATGTACACTTTTTGAAATAACATATCAAGATTAGATCAGCAAATCATATCTTCAGGGTGATAAAACAAAAAAATACAGCTTCTGTTTCAGTCACACGGTCACATAGACCCATACATCCAGGCGGAGAGTTGTTTTTATGTGCCCAGGAAATGACTGGTGTTCCTTGCAGCCAGTGTGGTAATTTCAATGAAAGGCTGAGAGGTTTTACAGATTTCTCACACATGCCGATGTCAACATCCGTACAGGGGTGGATTCACAGCACTGGATGCAGATAATCTACTGTAACCACTGATATATGCAGGAAGACTACAGACGCTCCAACTCTGACTGACAGGTAGCTGCATGAAACACCTGTTATTTTCCGGGCATGCAAATATATGAGTTCAAGATATGGCATATGTTACATTCCAGCTTGGACCAATGTAACTATACACATACCATACCCTTTGAATGCCTCAAGAAGCTCGAAATCACTGTAGTAGGCACTGCTACTCCAGTGATCTCCACCAGTTTCCAGGTCGCATGCCAAGTTGCTCCTCTGTTGCTTAGTGAATACAGGAGATCAGTTGCTCAGTATGAGCACCATTCAGAGAATGGTTTGTATTTTAATGAATGCAAAACATACTGTGATTGGATGAGGCAGAGAGCGTGATTTGAATCTCTCCACCTAGTCCAATCTTCATTTGAGTGCATTGTGCTGTAATCTACATCTGTGCACTGTATAGTAATACTACTTTATCTATGTTCTGTGCTATCATACATCTCTGTGCACCGTCCAGTAATATAGGGATATGCATTGTTTGCTGCACCTGTAATCACTCCTTGGTGTGCTGCTCTGAAATTGCCAAAGGTTTAAAGGGTGCACTTAGTACCCATATGCATGAAAGCTTAGAATATTATCCATGATAGTTTTCTTTGTAATCATAAAGCAAACCTTTCTTGAGGGACACATGATGGCTGTCACTGCCATTTCTCTTCTGAAGATGCTAGTTGCCTAGCTATTGGGTTCAGTAAGGTTTGAGCTAGGGGCCTGGAACAAGCATACTTATCTGAAAAGTAGGAGTAGAGTCAAACATCTTCTATTGGTTGCATGCTCCTGGTAAGGGACATAAAGTACTGAAGTAAGAGGGTAAATTTCAAGGGACAGAAACTGGCATTTGCACAACAAAAAGTAACAATGATGACCCCATGCCTCTCTCGGGAAAGACATTTTTGTTTTTTTCAGCTCGTTTTAAATATTCAAAAATGAATGTCGTGAAGGGAAACTAGTAATAATAAACAGTTATAGGTAGAAATAATGTATTTTTTATGGGTACAGATTTTGAATTATTTTTGCATTGTATACTTTAGAATTTGGCGTATTAGCTTAAAGGGTAACTCCACTTTCATGGAAATAAATTAAAGCAAATAAAAAAATGTATATAACGTATACAATAGCTACACAAGCCCTACTGTAATTCAATTTTCTTAAACATTACCTCTCCATTTCAATCTGCATCATTGTAATTTTTCTGTAAAATTCAATGCAACGTGGCAACCTGGAGGCGGTAAGCCTCCAAAAATGTAATTCCCAATTGGTGTGATTGGCTCACTGATTTTCTCAGAAGTCTAAACAAAGTTAAAAGGTTTTTAGACCTCATCTGCAACAAAAAAAAAAAATCATTTTTGGTGAGATGCTCCCCAAGGGTTAATTGCTTTTAAAGGGATGCAGACCTTGAAACTTTTCTCATCAGAACACTGAAATTTCATCAGCGGATTATAATGAACACTGACTCTCCCATTCAGAATCTGTATGCAAAACACATGGCCAAACAAACCGCTATTCCTTCAGAGTAGAAATGGGTGAGAATCTGCAACAAAGTTTGCTAAAATCCTTGTACCTGCAACCTCACGCACAATGCAGAATGCGCTCTAAAAGCTGCCATGCTGACCTTGTTTTAATTATTTAATTCATAAATTTGCCATTTGTGTTTTCCATTCAGGTGATAAAACTGGAACCCGACCTGAGTAAGTGGGTTTTTTTTTTTTTTTTGTTTGTTTTTTTTTAGGTTTCCTTGTATAGCTCATGTTTGTTCCTGACAGTGAATCTGCCCCTAATGTTCTTTTAAATGCATATGCTATTTTATCTTGTGTATAGTTCTTGGGTGAAATGTCACATTGAAAGCCTCTCCCAAACAGTATTTTATCACCATTGCAAACCACTCCTTTCCCTGCTTTCCTCAGTAGGCATCTCTTTGAGAATCACAATGATAACCAGGCATGCTAGCCATATTAACCACTTCCCGACCGGCCGTTGTATATAAACGGCCAGACGGTGGCACTGCAGGGTCGGGTGGCCGTTTTCTAAACTGCCTCCCCGCACCCTGCTTGTGCGCGCTCCCCCGGGTGCGCGCAGCAGCACCGCGATCCGGTGCCCGCTGTGTCCTCCGAAACACAGTGAAACACCGATCGTCGGACGGGACCTCTGTACGAGGTCACGATCATGTGATCACTGATTGGCCAATCAGTGATCACATGCAAAGTAGTAAGCAAGATGTCACTTCTGACATAATTGCTTACTACGTGTGAAATCTATGAGAGATCACAGAGGTCACATGGTACAAGGCTATTCACAACAGCCTTGTACCATGTGACAAGCTGTGACCAATCACAGCTCACTCAGTAGTTCTCAAGAATGCAGACAGAGAGAAAGAGAAATGATTGCTTTTACATCCTATATGGGTGTAAAAGCAATCAGTGTAAAAAAAAAAAAAAAAAAAAAAATCTTTATCACCCACCAAAAGTAGTACAGTGTCACCACGTACTGCTAGGGTGACAGCATGTAAAAAAAAAAAAAAAAAAAAAAAAATGTTTAAAAATTATAATTTTTGGTTATATACTAATTTGGCTTATTTTTTTTTTTTTTTTACTAAAAAGATAATGGAATACGTTTTGGCCAAGAGTTATGATGAAATATTATTTATTTGCAAAATTTTATAGGAAAAACACTTTTTTTTCAAATTTTTGGACATTTTCATTTACATAGCAAAAAAAATAAAAAAAATCCCAGCGGTGAATAAATACCACCAAAATAAAGTTTTATCTGTCTCAAAAAAATGGTAAAAAATTCATATGGGTACAGTGTTGCATGACCGTGCAATTGTCAGTCAAAGTGTGATAGCGCTGAAAGCTGAAAATTGTCCCTGGAGAGGAAGGGGGTAAAAGTGTCCGGACTGGAAGTGGTTAAGAGAAAACATTTGTAACGAATGCTCTATAATCTTTACAGGCATTTTTTCAGTCATTGCAACAATCCGATAAATACATTTAACTAATAGAAAAAATATTGTCAATTGAAAGAGCAACATGAGTTATTTTACACACCCCTTTTTATTGAGAGTAAGTATGTTACCTTTGAATGTGTAGAATACATTTCACCTGCCTCCTTTAAAGACTGACTGTGGGTTATTCACTTCAAACGGGGTTTGCATTCTCTCAAGGCTATGGAAATGCAAAACCAACTTGAGGCAGGTGTACCTGTAAATTAAAGTGGAACTACACTGCATCTGAGCACCACAAACCAAAAATGCTATTTACTTTTTCCTTCATTTTTTTTTTTTTTTTTTTTAACAACTTCAAGTCTGGACACTTTTACCTCCTTCCAGTCTAGGCCAATTTTCAGCTTTCAGCGCTATCACACTGTAAGTGACAATTACTCAGTCGTACAACACTGTACCCATATTTATTTATTTATTTATTTATCGAGTTTATATAGCGCCAAAGGGTTTGCTACGCTGTACAATAGAGCGCCATAAAAATTATCCTTTTTTTTTTTTTTTTTTTAGACAGAGCTTTCTTTTGTTGGTATTTGAGCACCACTGGGTTTTCTGTTTTTTGCTATATACATGAAAAACCAAAAATAAAAAAAGTCATTTTTTGCTTAGTTTTTGCAAATTAATGTTTCTTCATAAATTTAGGCCATAATGTATTCTACATTTTTGGGGTAAAAATAACCCAAAACAGTGTATATTATGTAGTCTGTATGAAAACTACAGTTTACAAACTACGGTATGTGTCTGCAGTGTACTTCAGCGCAATTAATCACAACCTTTTATCTCACACCATATGTTATATTGCTGTTGACACCATATGTGTTCCCACATATACTGCAGTTGAATCAAAATAAAGTGCTACACAATGTGATGCTCCTGCAATGCAAATAAAAGTAGTACCATAAACCATATATATTACATAACATTATATAGCCAATATGTGAAGTCCCAACACCAAAACAAAAAAATTGCCCTTGGAAATAATATATATAAAAATCCTTCTCATTATATGTGGTGATCCTCCACTCCACTACTGTGTGCTCAAGCACATCCTCATTTGTGCGTTCCTTCACCAACATACATATATACTCTCATGTCCTGTATATGACCTCTTACTTCAGGTCAAATAGCGCTTTTTCCCTTTAACCTGGGTAAGTATAGCCTCCCGCACTCTCCAGTGTCCAGATCCATCCTCTTGAATCACATATGATGTATCCATTAAGAAGAACTTTAAAAAATTAAAAACCACTTCGCAACTAGCACTTCCTGGCTTATTTTGAGGACCCAGAAATCTTGGGCATCCACATCCATTCAGAAGAGAAACTTCCTGTTTTGAAAATGTGCACATGCATCTCAGAGTCATCTCAACTTGTTGACATTGGAACAGGCCCTTAGAGTGACTTAAAACAACAGAGCAGTCTTGTTGCATTGGCCAAATTCGAGGTGAGGGGTAGCCCTGCAAGCACCACCCAGCTTGACAAAGTGGATTTTTAAAATTCATCTGAGCCAATTGAAAAATTATCAACCAAACACTGACTGCATCCTATCAGATGTATTCCATTTTTTGGCAGTGCCACTGTATATAGACTGCCTTGTGTGCCATGGCTGTTGTATTCAACAGCCAGCAGGTAAGATTCCTCTATCCGTGCTATTTAGCATGGATGAGAGTTGTTTAATTTCTCTAGCCGTGTATATCCGTGTACACTTGGTTCTCTATGACAAACCTATCATACCAGTAGTGCACCGTATCTCAGACAGAAAATACCTTTTGAGCAATGTATGGTTGCTTGTCTGCTAGTTTACACCCCTTGCATCCAGTCATGTCAGTGAGTTGAAACTGAGAAGCACAAAATCAAATTCAAGATTGTCAGTGTGAATTTTTAGTGCTGGAAAGAGCAGACATAGCAGCAGTAGCATGTTTATAACAATCCCTGTTCATACACTTTTTTTTTTTTTTTTTTTTTTTTTTTTTTTTTTTTTTTTAATTTGGCTTTTGTTTTCTGCAGAGACAGCAAAGCACTTAAGGATGAAAATCTACCTCAAGTAATCTGCCAAGATGTAGAAAATTTTCAGTAAGTATAACTAAACTTTGTGTGTCTATAGTAAGTTTCACTCCTTTTTTTTAATGTGCTTTCTTTTAATGCCACATTTTTTGTGCTTGCGTAGATGAAAAGTTTATTTTTCTTATGTCATTGACAAGTATTGATTATGTTTATTGTATGTATGTTACAAAAAAAAGAAAAAACTTGAACCTGAGTTATCCTGCAGAATATCAAGGTGCTAAAGAGGAGCCATATTGTGGTTCCTGCAAGGTATTTGCCTTTTAAAGAAAATCTTCAGCAAGTTTTGAAAAAAATGAAGTGGGCAGCTACAAATACTGTAGCTACTGACTTTTAAAAATGTAAGTGCTTACCAGTGGGGTCCTGCACTGTCTTGCTGCAGCTATTTATTCTCGTTACTATGGGTCCCCAGTGATTTTGGGAGCCATCTGTGGCTTTCTGATTAATCACAGCTGTCTCCTCACTGGCATGCGCAAGAACACGTGGCACTGGGACATCCTGTGTGATGTGTCCCAGGTACCTGCGGCCAGATAGAGAAGGAGGGATGAGTAACATCATCTTCCTAGGTGAGGATCGAGACGTAGGAGCATGGTACTTGCCCCCAGCCCCCCCCCCCCCCCCCCCCCCCTGCCCCCCAAAAACAAAAAACTCTGTTACAGGCTGGGGTTAGGAAGAAAATGAGTGTCCTTCCGCTTCAAATTGATTCCTTAAGCTTCCTGAAGCTTTATACAGGGCTTCAACTTGAACAAAACTCCACACTTTTGGCTCTAAGACCTGCCTCTTTCTGACAAGAGGTTGGTGCCAAGTGGAGAGACTTAATCTAGATTTAGAAAGCAGTTGACAGGGATCAGGTTAAATCCTAACACAGGTACCTACACTGCTGTACTGTTCTCATTATGCACTTGTTAGGCCAGGTCAGGTTCATCTAAAGAGTGAGCATTTGCTTTAACAGGTTTTTAACATTTACAAATGTAGCTATTAAACCTGTATCCACAATAACTGGTATTTACCACAATTAATAAGATTAACATTGAAGAAGTATGGTCAAAGCTTTTTTGGCTGTACTTCTCTTGTGGATCACAGGAGTGTCACACTAACTGCACTCCTGTTTTCAGCCGACAGCGGGCTTTAGCGTGACTCGGCCAGTCCAAGATTCTGACATTACAGTCGGCATCCACTCAGATGCCTGGCTCAGCAGCTGGCCCAACCTCTCAGCGAGCCACTCTCACCCCCATCCCAGCGAGAGCTGGAGGGACATTATACTGACAGTCACTGGCTCTCTGCTCACCAAAGACTGAGAACTGAGCAGTCATCAGTCTTTGATCATACAGTTCTCAGGCTTAGAAGCAGCAGGGCACAGATACAGCTGGGATCGATGCTGCATCCACCTAGGTGAATATAATTTTTTTTTTTTTTCGTTCATCCCAAAGCGCTCTTCAAATGCTACGATTCTCTGTCTTCCTTGGATTATTGCTAAATATAACTTCTTGAAGAGATTTTGCTGGTCTGATCCAGCGCATCCTTTCTTTCCATCTGTCTCTACCTGAAATTGGTGGGTTACATTACCGCATAATTCACCTCTTTTGCAGAAGTTTACAGTTCCATACAAAGAAAATGACACATTTGATTCTTTTTCCTTGATCATCATACATTGATATTTTCTCTTTCCAGTTCTGTGTGAGTAATGGGGTGTTGCTATTGTAATGAGCACTTTGTTAAGTTTACGATTTGTCTTCCTATGCAGAAAGTTTGTGAAGGAACAGAAACAGGTGCAAGAAGAGATCAGCAGAATGTCTTCTAAAGCTATGATGAAAGTTGAGGAAGATATCAAAGCCTTGAAGCAACTTTTATCAGTTGCCTCCAGTGGCCTTCAGAGAAACACTCTGGCTATTGACAAACTGAAAATTGAAACTGCTCAGGTATGTTGTACTATATAATTGCAGGGTGTTTTCCAAGAGTTTAGCCAGTTTCAAGCTCTTCTTCTAACTACCTGCCGACCGCAGATAGCCGAATGACGGCTTCACTGCGGCCGGCCAGTTCTGAGTGGACGTCATATGACGTCCTCCCAGAACGCGCTCTCGCGCGCAGGGGGCGGGCGGGCGATCTCTGTGATCGCTGTGTCCTACGGACACAGCTGATCACGTGATGTGGTAAAAGGCCAATCACAGCGGCCTTTTACCACGTGATCAGCGGTGTCCAATGACACGCTGATCAGAGGGAAATGCAAGTGCCGGTTCTCGGCTGCACTTTCCTCACGCTGTCAGATCGTGCGGGGATCGGCACCGATCATCAGGGCACTGATGATCAGTGCCCTGATGATCGGTGCCCAGCAGTGCGCCCACTAGCTCCACCCACCTGTGCCCACCCACCTGTGCCCACCCACCTGTGCCCACCCGTGCCACCCACCAGTGCCACCCACCAGTGCCACCCACCAGTGCAGCCCAGCAGTGCTGCCAGTCAGTGCCACCAGTCAGTGCGCAGGGGTTGTGCCAGTCAGTGCCGCCAGTCAGTGCCCAGCAGTGATGCCAGTCAGTGCCGTCTATCAGTACCCATCATCAGTGTCACCTATCAGTGCCTATCGCATATTAGTGCCGCCTATCCGTGCCACCTCATTAGTACTGCCTATCAGTGCCCTTTAGTGCTGCCTATCAGTGCCGCCTATCAGTGCTGCCTCATCAACGCACATCAGTGAAGGAGAAAAAATACCTGTTTGAAAAATTTTATAATAGAAACAAAGAAACTTTTTTTTTTTTTCAAAATTTTTTGCACTTTTTTTATTTATAGCGCAAAAAGTAAAGCGCCCAGTGGCGATTAAATACCACCAAAAAAAAGCTCTATTTGTGAGAAAAAAATGATCAAAATTTCATATGGGTACAATGTTGCATGACTGCGCAATTGTCAATCAAAGTGCGGCAGCGCTGAAAGCTGAAAATTGGCCTGGTAAATAAGGGGGTATAAGTGCCTGGTAGGCAAGTGGTTAAGCTACAGTCTGGGAGTTTTAGCAATGGTCTTACAATGAACTGTACTGAATTATATATCTAGATTTTTGCTGCTGACCACTCCCGCCTTATGTTGATTCAGAGGCTTCAGTACTTTTTTTATACGCTGACCTTGAACAAATATTATTAAAACAAATTTCCTATCCTATAACATATAAATATCTTATCTTTTCATCTCTTGTGTTTCCAGGTTCTTCATACCCTGTCTTACTATCCTTTCACACATGCATACTGATTTCACATGAGGTCTTGTACACTATCATTATAATGACAGGTTAGACTGCATACACACAGTTGACTTCTTGATTGATTTTCTAAACTGGAAACCGTATAAGTTAATTCCCTCTTCCTCGAATGGTAATGTGAATCAAGATGCCGTTCCTCAGAAAGAGGAAATTCCTTGGGGGCAGACTTAGAAAATTATCTACAGTTATGCAGCTTGCTTCTGCTTGGTATAGTGTGTGTGTGTGTGTGTGTGTGTGTGTGTGTGTGTGTGTGTGTGTGTGCGTGTGTGCACGTGTGCGTGTGCACGTGTGTGTGTGTGTGTACAGTATGTGTGTGTGTACAGTATGTGTGGTTTTTGTTTTATTTTATATTCTGGACGAGTACCTACCGGTATGTTCCTTCCTTAGCTGATCCACCAAGGTAGTCTTACTTGTATGGTAGCATGAAATGTTCTGAAGCTATAAATATTTCTGCAATTAATTGAATGCTAGATTGAGAAATCTCAGACAAGTTAGAGTGTCTGCACTCCACCAGTAAAAAAAAAAAAAGCACTAGTAAAAGTTTGGGGCTTAGAATGAATTGCACCTTGGAAACCTGAATGTGATAGAAAGTGTGATGTTTACTTTATCTATTTGAATAGATAAAGCCAAATGTACTTTTGTAAGAAAAATATTTTGTCTAATCTTGTTATGCATTAAATTCTTGCGCTCTGTTAATCTTTCAGGAACTTAAAAATGCTGAAATAGCTTTAAGAACACAGAAGACACCGCCAGGTCTGCAGCATGAAAATACAGCACCATTAGAGTAAGTTTTAGTAAGCAGAAGAAAATCAGAAATTTCTGAGCCCCTGTCCCTTTCCAACCTCTGCTGGACTTTCTGGCTATTTAGCTGTCATGTGGGGAGGAATCATTCTGTTCTAGTGGACTACTGCTGGTTGTGCCAGGTGGTGTTATCTAATGAAACAAGTCAGTAAAAGGAAGAATTTGTTGGCTGTTAGGGCAACCCTAAAGATCCATACAGAAAGGTGGGAGACACAGGACACCTCACCACAGGGCAGAATTAAAAAAAATATTAGGATCAGAAGATAGAGACATTAAATAGTTATATCTGCTTCATGGAGAAATTAAGATTACTGCTGGATTTTGCTGAAGAGTATTTCTAAGCATGAGTTGCCTATAAATTGACATCATAAATTAATTATAAAATATGTGTGACTAAATACACATTTTATGCTGACCTCTTTACTCTAAAGTCAGGCATATGTAGGCAGATTAGGGCTGGTGTGTAGCCATTTCTCATCCTGCGATGTCTATACTAAACCTTTGGTGCTCTTTAAGCAACCCTGTAATATTTGGAGTCTGAAAAAGTAAAAGGTTAACTTGAACCATAAAAATTCAATTCTTTACTTTCTCTTTGCTCCCCAAAACAAAAAATTGAAAATGCGGGGTAAGGGTAAATGCATGATGCATGTCGCTCTGAACAGGGGTTAACTTTGGGATAAACCAAGATTTTCACAGGAATTTTTGTTGCAATATTAGTGGTTTGGGGAAAGTGAAAAAGGCAAGAATAAAATACTAGTGGGGCCTGCTATCAGGTGAATCTGTTGCTCATCCCTCTTTCTACCACTGATGTATGTCATATGTCGGGAGCCTCAGGGGGTTAATTTTCAGATGCAAGTGATCTCGAGGCTGTATAGGTAAAGGTGCATCCAAGTTCTCACAAACACACACACCTCTGCCCCATCAGGAACACTGACATACAAAGATGTCACGCGTGCTACACTTTTTACATTTTGCTGCGCATGCTGGCAGGAGACCGTTGTTCATGGTTAACAATAAACTGATGACCTGTGAAAGCTTATAACGTCTTGCCTAAAGAAAAGTTTAGGTACTAAAGTTTATCATCTCACTGGCGCATGCTATTTTAAGGATGAATAAAGAAAATTCCTGTGCAGTGAATGGTGTATGTGGATATATAGGCTGCTGCTATCACCTAACACAAACTAGTGTGATATAGGAAAATAGTACAATGTTGCGCTGCCAATCCTGCTCTTATTTGTGATGTGGAAACCAGCTGAGCTTTCTGTGGTGGTGTGCCACAATACGCCTCCCACCTACTCAATGTGATACAAGATAAGTGCTGCATGGACAATCCTGCCTCCAACTGAGATCAACTGAAGTAAGCAATACTGTGCATCAGTGATTGATGTGCTATGGTGCATTCCCCCACTTCAAAATGTAAATACTCTATATAACCAACTTGAAAAATTAAAACAACACATCAAAGTAAAAATAAAGTCAAAAGTAGAGAAAAATTATTAAAATGTGTAATTGATTGATGTGCTACAATACACTTCCCCTTAACATGAGACCATCAGCGGGGCCTGATCACGTCACTTCCGGTTTGTCTCAGTTAAGCTGTGGAGCGCAGTGGCTTTCTGGAACACATTGTTTTTAAAGCGCCTACGCATGTTTTATCCTAAGTGCAACTAAATGGCTTGATAAACCATTGCGCTCATAATTGTGTGATATAAAATATGGAACTACCAGTATTTTGTTCTCCAGGGTCTGCTTTCAGAAAATATATACGGTTTGGTGGTTTTAACTAATCTACAAGCCTAAAATTATTAAATGTGTGCACAAAACACATAGACGGCAGGGAAAGGGTTTTAGCAGAATATTTAGAGATAAATTATGCTAACATACCAGCACATTTCAGCAGCCCTTCCTTTATCCGAAACTTGGACAAAATTAATAGCTTATTTTTAAGAAAATAATTAGGTCTACTATAAAAACTGTAAAAACATGTAATGTGTTTTTGAATGGAGATTTTCTTCTGGAATATGACAGATTATTTTTAAAGGCGTGTTAATCCCAAAAACACCATTTTATTATACTGCAGTTTACCAATTCTTAGATATGGCGGCAGCATTAGTTGGTTTTTTTTTTTTTTCCCTTTGTTTGCACCTGATGATCCAACTAAGTAAGTCTGTTATTTTTCAATTTTTAACCGGTCAAGCAAGTGTTGATCAAAAGGATATTTCACATCAAGAACACACATAAGAAGCTGATTTAGATCACCTTCTCGTGAACAGGAATGGCCGTAGATGGGTCACAATCTAAGGATTTTGTTCTCATGGACCACTTTACTATCCTACTTCAATCGCTGCTGAATTTGTAGACCGTAGACTGTACACAGTTTGCAGTTTTTTGTTACCATTTCTTGAGCCTGTTGGCCTTTATTACTATGTTGCTCACTCCTCAGTGTGCTTTTGGACATCCCTACAGTCTTAAGAATTCTCGTGTCCCTCAATGGACGTGAAAGAAAATAGGATTTTTTACTTGCTTTAGAATTCTTTCTTGGAGTTTGAGGGACACAAACTTTTTTTTTTTTTTTTTTCATGCTCTTCGTACTACTTTGCTTCAAAACTGAGGTGTATGGTTGTGGGTGGGGCTATCCTGTGCTGGCCAATGACTTTATTGGTGTCAGTGTAAATTTCTATGTAGGTGGCAGTATAACCCAAGTCTAAGATTTCCTGTGTCTCTCACTAGACTCCCAGAAAAGATGTTTACAATGAATTTTACTGTGAGAATTTTCACAAAAGCACAAAACTGAATAGTGTTTTTGTGTGTCTGTGGAATTGCAAACTCCTTCTCCTCTTCCTCTTCTTCCTCTTCCTCCTCTTCTTTCCTCTTCTTCTTCCTCTTCTTCTTCCTCTTCTTCTTCCTCTTCTTCTTCCTCTCTTCTTCTCCTCCTCTTTTTCTCTTTCATTGTGTCAGGGATTTGTTTTAGCACACACCTTTACCTTGTAATATAATGTGTGTTTTTTTTTTTTTTTTTTTTTTTTTTTAAGCTACTTCCGGGTTTTAGTGGAGCAGTTTGAAGTCCAGTTACAGCAATACAGGCAGCAGATTGAGGAGCTGGAAAACCACCTGGCAACACAAGCAAACAGCTCACACTTAACGCCACAAGGTATGAGGTGGGAAGCTGGAGGGGTCTTTCTTACTGGTTGTAACTTGTGCTTATTTGACACAAGTCATGGCTTTTCTATTTTCAATGTGGCATGACATATCTCCCTGTCTCTTTGCCTCTATACCTCTATACTTTCTTATGCATGACTGTAAGATAAAAAGTAGTGCAACAGCTTGTCTAAATGTTTTGCAGCAAACTTTGAACAAGCTTCAACATGCTTTTTCTTCAGTAATGGAGTCTTGTGTGGTGCACGTGCATACTTGCCACGGCGGTTTAGTGCATTACTTATTGTTTTCTTAGAAACAATTGTACTTGCTAATTTCTTAATGCTTTCTGAAGCTCTCCACAAGTGGTCATTGGTTTTTGGACTACTCTTCTTCTGATAATTCTTTTCACTCTGTCAGAAATCTTGCGAGGAGCACCTGGTCGTGGCTTGTTTATGGTGAAATTATGTTCTTTCCACTTTTGGTCCCAACAGTTCTCATTGGAAAATTCAGAAGTTTAGAAATCATTCTGTAACAAATGCCATCAGTTTGTTTTGCAACAATAAGGTTTTTGCTTTTTTGCTTTTACCCATCATGAGATGTTTCTTGTGTGATACCTTGCTATTTAGACTCCTTTTTTTTATAGGCCATCAGTTGAGACTGAAACAGCTGATAATAATTTGCACTGACAAGGGGCAGAATTGATTTCTAATTACTGATAATTTCAGCTAGTATCCTGGCTTTCCATGCCTTTTTGCTCCTCCCTTTCTTTGTGTTCGATACTTTTTCCCTGTGTCATTCCATTTTATTACACATAACTTAAAGCGGAGTTCCAGTTGCACTGTGAAAAAATAAGTCAGCAGCTACAAAACTGTAGCTGCTGACTTTTAAAAAACTGCTATTTAATTGTCCCACTATCCGCGGTGTCCTCCCCGCAGCCTGTTTCACCAGCCGTCTGGTGTTCCAGGCACCGGCATATTCAGTGTGGGCACCCGGCTGTGACAGCCTGCAGCTTCACAGCCGGGTGCCCACTTCGCATGCACGAATAGCGATGCACTTTCTGAATGGTCCTGTAGTCTTGTGGGACTTTACACGTGTCCTAGAAGACTACGGGGAGGGAGGATAGGAGGACAGCTTCCGCTCCGAGTGCCTAAGCAATTGCAGCGTAAGTGGGAGTGGATACCTGTCAATTTTGGGTACCCACTCCCCAAAGGTGTCAATCCTTAATGGGTCTTTAAAGCAAAACTTCCCCTTTTGGGTGGAGCTCCGCTTTAATTTTTGAACTTATTTGTTTTGCTTTCTTTGTATGGATTGCATGGGTTGTTACCGACATGTGGTGAAAACATCATGTCAATAGCACCTTTAGAAAAATATTTACTGAGAAATGGTGATGTGTTCAATACTTATTTTACCAACTGGTTACCCTTAGACAAGATAACCGTTTTCATTTTGTGTTCTTTAATGGCTTAGTTCTCCTTTACAAAAAAAAAAAAAAAAAAAACACTATGCTGACCCATATGGGTATAGCAGCATAGTGTGCTAAACGTAACTCTCAGCAATGGCTCCTTTTTCTTTTAAGTTCAAAGAATGGATGCCAAAACCATATTAGAAGTGTTCTTAAAATCTATATTCTGTGATTACTCGGTGTTTATTCTTTCCTGTCACATATGATGAGCTCAGCATCTGCAACAGCAGAAAGTACACAATGCGCATGTGCGGCTTGAAAGAACAGGACTGTGTTCACTCCTGTGGCACTAGGGGATGCTGGTCCCAATGGTTGCGTCATCCTTACAATAAGGCTAGGTTCACACTTGAGCAGGTTTGCATGGTCATAGCAGCCCATTCATGTCAATGGGCTGCTGTGCCTGTGTTTCCTGCAAAAAAAAAAAAGATGCCCACACCATTTTCAAACAGCAGCTGCAGGGAAATCACATTATGTTTTTGTACCATACGTGCACCCGCAAATGCACTATAAGTTGAGATGCGTGGGGGTGCCATTAAGAATTAATGGCACCCCCACGTGTTTGTATAGAGCTGTGCATTTTTGTTGTGGATACAGGAACAGATGCGATTCCCACTACCAACCGCTACAGTGTGAACTTACGCTAACTCAGGATGGAGCCATCACGGGCTGTAGAAGACCTTTTAAGAAGTTTTAAAATATGGTTTTGGCTTATATACTTTGGAAGGTAGGTTTAACATACTATGCTGCTGTACCCATATGGGACAGCAATAGTGTGCCTTAGGGTAAAGGCGATATAGTCGTTTATGTGCATTGGGTTAGTTCTTTTTTTCAGCCTGTTTTTGCTTGTGTAGGTTATTTTAAACAACTTTTTTTTATTATTATATTACACAAAAAAAAAATAAAGGAACACTTTGAAAATACATCAGATCTCAATGGGCAAAAATATCATGCTGGATATCTATACTGATATGGACTGGGTAATGTATTAGGAACGTAAGGATGCCCCATTGTTTGATAGAAATAAAAATGATCAACCTACAGAGGACTGAATTCAAAGACATCCTGAAAATCAAAGTGAAAAAATGATGCAGCAGGCTAGCCCATGTTGCTGAAATTTCATTGCAGCAACTCACAATGGTACTCAGTAGTTTGTATGGCCCCCACATGCTTGTATACATGCCTGACAACTAGTGGTGCACCGAAATGAAAATTCTGGTGCCAAAATCGAAAATTCAAGTTGCACTTGGTCGAAAACCAAAATGGACAGTTTTTAAATATTAATATAATTTTCAAACACAATTTTTTTGGAAACAAATACACTTGATTAAAAAAAAAAACAATATATACCCCAATTTTTTAGTAAAATATGAAAGTTGATGTTACACTGAGTAAATGGATACCCAACATGTCATGCTTTTAAATTGTGCATGCTCGTAGAATGGCATCAAACTACAGTGCTTAAAAAAAATCTCCAAGGGTGACACTTTTTAACTACACTGGTTAACCTGTAGAAATTTTTAGAGGTCTAGTGCTGGAATTATTGCTCTTGCTCTGACATTCGTGGCAATACCTCACATGTGTCCTTTGAACACAGTTTACATATGCGAGAGCGTATGTGTTCACCACTACACTGAGCTCGGGGGGGACGGGGGAACTTTAAACTTTTTTTTTTTTTTAATTTATTTTTTTTTACACTGTCCCTTTAATTTTTTTCTTTTTTTTCTTTTAAATCACTTTTATTCCTATCACAAGGAATGCATGCATCCCTTTTGATAGAAGTAAGTAGTGACAGGTCCTCTTTATGGAGAGATATGGGGTCAATAAGACCCCACATCTCTCCTTTACAATGCAAAGCATTAGATGAAAAAAAGCATTGATCTAGTGCTTTAAAAAAAAAAAAAAATAATAATTTTTTTTTTAAATGGCCTTGTTTACAGGGTGCTGGAACTGGAATTGATGTTGTTCCGGTCCTCCCAGGGCATACAGATAAGTGGAGGCCATCTTTCCTTCACTTATCTCTATGCCTGAGAACCACCGAGCGGCGTAGGGTCTCACAATGGGTCTCAGGATTTCATCCCGATACCTAATGGCAGTCAGGGTGCGATTGTCTAGCCTGTAGAGGTCTGTGCGTCCCTCCCAGACCATCACTGACCCACCACCAAACCGGTCATGCTGACGTTCTTCACGGCTTCTCCAGACCTATGCACGTCTGTCACGTGGTCAGGGTGAACCTGTAAAGCACAGGGTGTCAGTTGAGCTCTATGCTGCCGGGCTCTGAGCACAGAGCCCACTAGAGGACGTCGGGCCCTCAGGCCACCCTCACGAAATCTTTCTGATTGTTTGGTACGAGACATTCACACCAGTGGCCTGGTAGAAGTCATTTTGTAGGGCTCTGACCGTGCTCATCCTGTTTCTCCTTGCACAAAGGAGCAGGTACCGGTCCTGCTGATGGGTTAAGGACCTTCTATGGCCCTGTCCAGCTCTCCTAGAGTGACTGCCTGTCTCCTGGAATCTCCTCCATGCTCTTGATACTGTGCTGGGAGACATGGCAAACCTTCTGGCAATGGCATGTATTGCTGTGCCATCCTAGAGCAGTTGGACTGCCTGTGCAACATCTGTAGGGTCCAGGTATCGCCTCATGCTACCAGTCGTGACAATGATTTTAGCCAAATGCAAAACTAGTAAAAAAACAGCCAGAAAAGATGAGTAGGGAAAAAATGTCAATGGTCTCCACCTGTAAAACCATTCCTGTTTCGTTTCATTGTTGCCCATTTAGTGCACCTGAAAAACACTCAGAAAAGATGAGTAGGAAAACAAAAATGTCAGTGGCCTCCACCTGTAAAACCGTTCCTGTTTTGGGGGTCGCCTCATTGTTGCCCATCTAGTGCACCTGTTGTTAATTTCATTAACACCAAAGCAGCTGAAACTGATTAACAACTCCCTCTGCTACTTAACTGACCAGATCAATATCCCAGGAGTTTAATTGACTTGATGCTAAACTCTGATTAAAAAGTGTTCCTTTAATTTTTTTGAGCCGTGTATATCACATAGAAGTTGAAATACAGTGATAGATTCCCAGGCCAACCCTGTGGGGAAAAACTATTTTATTAATATTTTCTTCAATTCTTAATTCCATTACAACCAGAATTGGCTATTGTTTTGGGGTCGTGTGGCCAATATGCCTTAAAATAATTCTAAACTAATTTTAAAAAATAATTCAATTTGACCCAAAGCCATTGCTTGCCTTGTAAGTCAACTACAACATATTTGTAAGCTTTTTCACGCTGTTGCAGATGGGTAGCTACTAGACTGAGCTGACTGCTGCAGAATTTTACTTGCTTTGTTTACTTCTTTCCTACCAAATATATATGTTTTTTTCTACTTCTGGTGATACCAAATATACTGTGTTTTGCAGACCTATCCATGGCAATGCAGAAGCTCTACCAGACATTTGTGGCCTTAGCAGCCCAGCTGCAGTCCATACATGAAAGTGTTAAGGTAAGTTGTTTGGAATTGGCTATTTTTTTTCAAATCTTTTTTGTTGAAATTAACAAAGTATATAACAATAGAAAATAGGTACAGAATCAAAACCAAGTGTAACAATGATAGTACGCTCGTAACACTGATAGAACACGCGCATATTTGTCCTAATCCGCCAACTTTGATGAGCCATAACATATCAAACCATGTAACAAGTCTGAAAATGCATATATATCATCAAACAGTAAGAATAATGCTTTGATCATATAGTACCAACATAGTATACACAGTGCCATCAGAGATGTCCTGTAAGCATAGACCCAAAATATAGTATCGCTCACAGGTAATACAGAAAAAGGAACAATAGAAAAAGAATAAAGTTAAGAGTTCAAATTCCAAAATATATTCGTTCTAATCAATGCACCATCACTCGTGATTATGTGCATAATGTACTCCAATCCTATAGATTCACATTATGTAACATAAACATATCTTTCCAACAAGATCACCTAGAATCAAATAGCCCAGTGTCCTGGGAAGAAACGGCAACAGCCCGCTCATAAATATAGTGGTAGTGTACTCTATGAATAACGTCCAATATAGTGAAGGTTTTGGATGATTTCCAAGCATTAGCAATTATAAGTCTGGCTGCAATTAGAATGTGGCCAATTATCGTTCTGTATTGCACAGGGAAAAGGTTTAAAGAGAGATTTAATAGTGCTAAATGAGGGACTGGACTTGTAGTCATTCCAGACACTCGAGAAATTAGTGCGACAACATTTTGCAAAAATTTTTGTAGATGGGTACACTCCCACATAATTTGTATTTGCCCACACTGCCACAATTCCTCCAACATGAGGGTGATGCGTCCTCTGCAATATTTGACATATCAGAGTGCATCTTAGATAATTTATATGGGATAATGTAGCTACGGTACAAGGTTTTTAAAGAACTGTCCCAATGATTAGTACATTTGGTGATACCCAAATGCAGGATACCATTCATCTCGGGTAAACGATCTTTGCAGATCCCTTTCCCACCTACCTATACAGGTCAGGGTAGAATGATCATTTTCGTATTGTAGATACTTATAGAACCATGATATACTTTTAATCTAATGGGATTAGATAAAGTATGCCAAATTTTCGAATCCACTTCTACCCACTTCCTCGGGTTCGATATATGATAGTCGCTAATTTGTTAAAAGGGGTACATACAACTTCCCAACTTTGTACAGCTGATCTCAGTGAATGTATGATATCTCAGTTCTCTCAGAGGTCTTGTATTAAGAGTGTGGATAAAGTGTTCATGCGCTATTAAAGATATATCCATTCTAAGCTTCAGAGAGGAAGGCCTACTGTCCATGCTTCAAGCGTTTATTAAGAGTATTTAAGAGTTTAGGTGTAATGGTTCTAGCCGTCAATAAAGCTTGAAGTTTTTTATTGGGGACTACATTCTGTTCTATTTGTACCCATAATTTATCTGAAGGGGTTAACCACGCTTGAAGTTGATCTAAAAGTGCCACATAGTAATAAGTGGAAATAACTAGTAGCCCCAGACCTCCCTTAGATTTATGCTTAGTGAGAGACAGGAATGGGATCCGCAATTTTTTTCCCTCTCCATATATATCTTTTCAATGCCGCTTCCATCTTCCGGAAGTAGGTATGGGGTATAACAAGCGGAATCATTCTAAAATAATATAGTATGTTGGGAAATATCAACATTTTAACCACTTGAGCTCCTGAGGATTTACCCCCCTTAATGACCAGGCCTCTTTTTGCTACTCGGCGCTGCACTAATTCAACTGATAATTGCACGGTCATGCAATGCTGCACCCAAACAAAATTTACGTCCTTTTTTTCACACAAATAGAGCTTACTTTCGGTGTAATTTGATCACCTGTGCGCTTTTTATTTTTCACGCTATAAACAAAAAAAGGCCAAAAATTTTGAAGAAAAAACAATATTTTTTACTTTCAGCTATAAAAAATATATACTAAACTCAAAGTTGGTTATAAATTTAGGCCAAAATGTATTCTGCTACATGTTTTTGGTAAAAAAAATCCCAATAAGTGTATATTGATTGCTTTGTGTGGAAGTTATAGCGTCTACAATCTATGGTATAGATACTGCAATTTACGCCATTTTTTCTGCTATACAGCACTGCGCTAGTTTAACAGACAATTGCGCGGTCATGCAATACGGTACATAAATGAAATTTACATCTTTTTTTCCCCATAAATTGAGCTTTCTTTCGATGGTATTTGATCGCCTGTGCGGTTTTTTATTTTTTGCGCTAAAAAAAAAAAGGAGCAGCTGTGACCCGGCGACTCACATCTGCGGCGGTGATCGGCGGGACAGATAGGGCGGCGGCACGCCTCGCGTGAGCCCCCTATCTGTTTACAAAACACACGTCTTAAAACGTGGTTTTGCCTGCGAGTGCCGCCCTGCCGCCGTATATGTACAGTGGCTGGGCGGCAAGTGGTTAAAAGCCGCTATTCTACCTCTCCAGCAAAGTTCAAACTTTTCAAGTCGTGTCAATTCCACTAGATTTGACTGGTATAATTTTTCATAGTTATCTTTAAATGTATTAGAGGAAGGGGCAGATATACATATACCCAAGTAATCTAATTTCTTATGAGTCCAGCTATAATGGAATGTGTCTTTGAGACATTTCAATGGGCCCTTCGCCAAAGCCACTGGTAGGGCGCAGGAGTTTGTTGAGTTTTTATAATAGGAAACTGCACTAATCACCTGCAATTTCCATTAATGAATTAAGGGGATCTATTACAGTGAGTATGACGTCATCTGCAAATAACCCTATTTTATGAGATTTATGGGCCATTTGGATTCCGGAGATTAGTGGGTTAATTCTAATTACAGTCGCCAAAGGTTCCATCACCAACGAAAAAATAATAGGAGACAAGGGGCAACCCTGTCTTGTTCCATTGGTGATATTAAAAGAGACCGATAAAGCGTTAGATGTAAACACTTGTGCAGTGGGAACTGTATATAAGGCCGTAATAGCAACTTACAGTAATATACCCACAGATACCAAAATTATTTAGAGTAGCATCTAGATAATTCCAGTGGACTCTATCGAAAGCTTATTCAGTGTCTAATGCTACGAAAACAGCCCGCGACCTACGAATTTCAGTAAGCCTCATCAAATTGAGCTCTCTATGAATGCCATCTGCTGCTTGTCTACCCTTTAACAAAGCCTACTTGGTCAGCTTGAATGAGGAAAGGGGCTATTTTTAATAAGAGAAATGTAATGATTTTAGCGTATATTTTAAGGTCCCTGTTTATTAGAGATATTGGCCTGAAGTTTTGAGGGCGGTCCGGATTCTTACTGGGCTTAGGTAAAGTGACGATGATTGCCTTCAACATCTCAGAAGGAAATGATTCTGTGGTCACAGCTTCATCATATGTCCTTTTAAGATGAGGCAGTAACGTATCTTGAAATTCCTTATAATAATCTATGGAGAAACCGTCCACACCCGGCGATTTTCCCTTTCAGTAACGCTTTGACAGGTGCTATTATCTCACTCTCCGAGATATGTTGATTTAGCTCCTCCAACTTTTGCTGGTCGAGTTCAGGCAATTGAAAATTATCAAAAAGGCTTTTAATCAGGTCAGGGGTAGGCTGGGGGGTATTTGGGTCATCTTTAAGATTTGTATAGTTGGGAATAGTAGGAGCGAAAAGCTTCCGCTATTTTATTAGGGTGAAAACTTACTTTATTCGATATAGGATCCAGCATGGAAGATAATTTAGATTGTCTAGCATTAAGGTAATTCGCAAGCAATTTACCTGCCTTGTTTCCTTGAGTATAATAGGTAGCTTTAGCCCGTTTAAGATTTTTCCCATGTTGTAGTCTATTAGTTTGTTATTCTTGTAAGGTACTAGGTGATAGGGATTGTTTGTGCTGAGATTCCAACCTAGCAATTTTATCTACAATTTCAGAAAAAAACCCAGTTCCTGTGCCTTTTTTCCTGTGAGGCCAATTTTTAGCAGTAGTCCCCTGCAATAGGCTTTATGAGCACACCAAATGCTAAATACATTGGTATCGGGAGAGGCATTAATGTCAAAGAATTCCTGTAAGGATTTAGAAAGGGTAGAGTGAAAGGCAGGATTAAAAAACATAGAGGTATCATTGCGCCATAAAAACACCAGAGAAAATTTTAAAGTCTCTTCTATAGTTAAGGATATAGGCGCGTGGTTTGACCATGTGATTGGGTGTATTTCTGCTTTAGAGACATTCTGTAATAATTGAATATCCATTAAAAAAAAGTCAACCCTTGAATAGGACTTGAGGAGCTGAGTAATATGTAAAGTCTTTTTCAGGCGCGTGGAGACATCTCTAAGGACCGTATAAATTGGCTTCTTTAAGACATGAGCTAAAGAATGTCTCAGGCTTCAGGAAGAATTGGAGTTATCCAAAGATTTGTTAATAATGGCATTAAAGTCACCACACAATTGCAAAAAACCCTCTGGACCTTTGCAACTTTTTTCCTTAGCGAGTTCAAAAAAGGAGATTTGGTTGATATTAGGAGCATATAAGTTCACAGTGGTATAGGGAATATTGTTTAGTTCACAAACCATAATTAGGAATCTGCCCTTACAATCCACCACCTGTGAATGCAATGAAAATGCAACGGAATGTCTGATTGCAATAAGAACTCCGCATTTCTTTTCAGGGCCATTAGCTGTAAAAATATGCGGAAACAATCTATGCGAGCAACATGGTGCTTTGAGATTGGAAAAATGTACACAAATCACATCCCCATGGAGCTGTTGTGCTTCTTTCCACAACCTCTAGTGTTTAAAAGCGCTATGGAGACCATGGGCATTCATAAACAATCTTCAAGACCATATTGGAGTTAACAACATATATGATGGTTTGTCGCCCTCAATTGACTTAACAGGAATTGCTTATTAGTGTTCACAAACAATATAGATTCATTACAGCATCCAGATATACCTGTTGGAAATAGATGAGCCTCCATTAACCTGAAAGA